TTTATAAATGAAATATAAGTGATTCGAAATACCAATTGGAATAAAAAATACTTTTTATGATATAATAAAAATTAACAATTATCACTTGTGTTTATTTGATTTTTATAATATTTAATCATTTTATTTTTAATTTATTATAGAATTTGTTTAATAATAATATGATAAGACAAAGCAAATTCTGTGATTATTTCATGACAGAAATATATAACAATAATGACATTTGTAAATAGAACACTTTTATCAAATATTGTGATTATAATAAAATGTATTATAATTAAAGTTTTGTTAAACAACAATTATAATCAAAAATTCATATTTTTGTTAATGCTAAAAAACTATTTATACTTATCAAAACAAAGTAATTACTTTATTTATATTTTGTGAAAACAATGAATGTTTTAATGAACGTTTTTGTGGGATGAACAAAAAAAATAATTGAAGAAAAAACACATCAAAAATAATATAAGAATTATATATGCTCATAACATTTAGCTTGTTTCCCGTTTTTCTTGACATAATTAATTATTATTATTTCAATAAAAATTTTTTAAAAATAGCATAAAAACAAATCCGAAAGTCCGATACGTCGGACTTTGTGTCCGGTGTTTAGCACCAACGAGTAAAAGAATATGTTGCTTTTATTCTGTGTTCAATTTGGCAATGTTGATTATAGTCAGACAATCTTCGTTTTCTACAGAACCATCGACATAATATTTTCAACATTTTTATTTCAGGCTCCTTATCTAATCCTTCACCAGTTAGAGCTACACGATGTGCACTACACCAAAAGTTTTTCATTTCTGTATCAATAAGAGGTATACCTGAAGGTTCATCTTTGTTGATCAATTCATTCATTTCCAATGAAAGTCCTCCATCTAAACCCGAACATACAGATGCGCCACATGTTGTACAGTTGATAATTCTATAACAGTTAAATCCAAGTCTGGTAATTTTATCAACAAGCCACTTTGCTAACGTTTTGGCATCTGTTGATCCTTTGTATTCTTGTAATAATAGTGGCATTGAGTAGACACGTTTACCTTTAACTAAACGTATAAAAACACAGAATATTTTTTAATCACCTTTCGTGGTTGAATTAACAGATATGGCAATACATCTCTTTCTTCTTCAATTTGGTTTCTTTGAGCAGTGTTATTGGTCATCACTTGTGTCTTCCTCGTCTTTGCACTCAATGCTAATGTTTTTGCGCGCTTAAGAATATCTCTACTAAATGCTGCATGTGACATGAGAATACACCTTTTAATTGTTCGAATTGGTTCTTCGCTCATGTGTGAAGAAACAGCCTCATTGTTCATTACATAACCAACAACCATTCTTTGCATTACCATCGCACTTGAAAGAAACTTTTTGTTTGTGATTGTTCCAATGTCTTTAAATAGATAATCGTATGCTACAATGAAACGCTCCAATATGAAACTTGATGTTTTATCATATGAAAATTTGCGCACACTTTCATACACAGCTTGAATGTTTAAATCTTTGTAGCCAATAACATGGTAGGTGATAAATGCTCCATCCTCAAATGTTTCCAATTCTTTGACAAGTGGAGTTATGAGGTTGTCTGAAACTTCATCAAACAATTTCTTATTCTTAATATCTTCAATAAGATCATCATTCAACATTTGTTCATTTTCTGATACTTCATTATGTTCATTTAATTCTTCTTGATCAAAAACTTTTTTGGCTTTTAGCATTTCATCTAACAGAATTACGTCAAATTCAGCTTCAGCTTCATCAAATCCACCATTTATTGTTTTTAGTATTTGTTGTGTTGATTGACACTCCGAATCAAACACTGATAGTTCAGATTGATTGACGTTGTTTTCACTCAAGTGTTTATCATCATATAATTTAGAGAAAGATAGATTTCTTTGTTTAAAAAAACTTTTAGCAAATGAAATACACATATCATTTTTAGTGTACATAATTGACGGGTCATTTAGATGTGTTATTTTTTGTGTTGTCGAGTTATTATCAGCTGTTATTAAAATTTTGTATTTTTCCAATTCACATTAACT